AGCAAAAAGATGGCTATTCCCTTGTATTCCAGAGCTTTAAACCTCCCCAGAAACTGCTGTTTTGCATTCTCCTCATGAGAGCAACTGTTTGGAGCGCTTGTAGGCAATTGTTCCTTGTCCAAAGATGAATTTGTAATTCCTTGTCTGGAGAGGAATTATGAAGAGCCAGTCTACTTTCTCAGCTCTTCATTCCCTCACAGTTGTTGGCTTTGCTTTTAGCAGAGCTGTCTTCAGTTCTCTATTTTTCCTCCAGAAATCCTTCTATTCTTTCTTTTGATATTGCATTCTATAGTTTTGTATGTACTGATGGATAAATCATTTGCTTATTTGTCTATGGTTCAGATATTCCACTGAGTTCAGAAAAGATAATTTTATGTTTATTACATAACTGGTTTGTTCTTCATGTTTAATTCCCTATAGTTACCTTTAATCATAAGGTACATTTAGAAAAGTGCAGTAGAAACTGAATTCAATTCACATACAGGTTCAAGAAGTAGAAACTGAGGTATATTTAAAAAATGAACCCTACAAATATCTTTTCATTTTTAATTAAGATAGCCGCATTCATTAGACTGTGCTCTTCAACTTGAAGGTTAATGAATTCTGAAGTTGTAAATAGTTAATCTGTTTTGCAAAAGACCTGGTCAGACTTTTTAGGTCGATATCTCTGCCTGTAAAAATGAATTTTCCATTAAAGCTTAAGTAGATATAAAGCAAAGAAAATGTCAAGTTGTGTACATGAGTGATGTTTATTTTCCTTCATTCTTTCTCTGGGAAGTAAATATGGCTCATTATTTACAATATTGATATTTCTTCCCTTTACAGAATATTTATCTTTTCCCTCTTCCCTCAAAGCACATGATAATGATACCATATTAGCAAGAACATCTTATTTTTAAAATGTTCTTAAGCTTCATCAATAGAGAAAGGATGCTTGTCTCTGTGCTTTATCATGTGAATGAAAGGACACAAATTATAGACAATTAGCTTGTACATTTTTATTCAAGAACTCCTGACTACAATAAAGTGTTTCAGATATAGACTAGCCTCAGCATTTGAGGTTTCAAGCAAAAATTTTTTAAGCAGAAACTTGTGGTTTCCTGAGACATTCCTTCCTGGTTTTTAACAAAGAATTCATTCACTGTATTTGAAGACGCAATTGCTTTATATATGTCTCCCTCTTTCCTGGAACTGATCACCCTTTGCTATCTAAGGTTGCTAATCTTTGCTGAGGTCCTATATCCCCTTTAGCAGAAGTCTGCTAAAGAGTTTTTCCACCTTGGAAAGAAAAATCTTCAGGTAGTCCTTGACTTATGAACACAATTGGACCTGGAACTTCTGTTGCTAAATGAGGTGGCTGTTAACTGATTTACATCCTACTTTATGATCTTTGTTGCCATAGTCATCAAGCAAATCACATGGGTCATTAAGTGAATCATGCTGCCATTAAGCAGACTCGGCTTTCATCATTGACTCTTGGAAGACAAGCTGGAAAAGTCGCAAATGGTGATCACATGACTATGGGGATGCAGTAATTGTGAGGATGGTTGTAAGTATAAGGACCAGTCATAAATGCAGGGACTGGATTTTTTTCAGCTGTCATAACTTTGAATGGTCACTGAATAGTCATAAAGTCGAGGACTACCTCTGATGTGAATGGGAAAAGGAATTTGCAGATTTCCTCTTCTTATTTTTATCTGTCCCAAAAGACTGGAGTGCAGGGAGAGAATGTAATAGGTGAAAAGGGCTTTAGCCAGTATGAAAACAAAAAAGCTTTCAGTGTTGCAAGGTTCTGCATTTTTCTTCATTTATTATTAATTTATTAAATTATGACATTCTGAAGTAGTTTACCAATACAGTTACTACTAGAATAATATGAGTAATAACAATATATCAAAGACCAATATTGGGAGTAGTGGATTACTGTCTGCGGAAAGCCAACATGGTATGGACTGTTGTAATGCACTCTATGTCATGGTTCCAACAGACAGAGACAAATAAAGCAGAACTCCGAGGCTTGCAAGTTCCTCAAAGAACACGTTTATTGATACAAAGTATCAGCACATCAAAAGTGAAACCAAGTCTGAATAGACATGTAACACTCCCCAATACAAAGTTAAGAAATCCTATTCCTAAAGCTATGCAAGCTACTATGTTCCACAATGCATCTTCTTGGCAGGCTTTTCACAAAACGCCCAGCCTGCAGTCCCTGGAGCAACCGATGACCTTGGTTCCCACGGGAGAAAATCTGTTTAGTCTAGCGAAGCACCTGGTAAACCCCCTCCCTCTGTGCTATGTGTCAACCGAAAATGAGTAGGGAAAATGGCTGCAGCCACACTCATTTTCAAAGTTGACACTCTACTTGAGGCTGCCCTCAAAGCATAGCTGGAAGCTGCATTTGGTATGAATTGTAGCACAGGTAATTTTGGGTGCTCTCAGCCTGTGCGTGTTACATGCCTGCTTCATGACCTGCATTGATTTAAGGAAAGGCCCTCCTGCCCCATGGCTGCCACCTGTGCCATGAACATGAAATTGTGCACCAACTCTGCCTGGGAGTGTTAACTAGAGCTAATAATGGAAGATCTCCAGATATGGGAGCCCATAAAGTCTTCATCCTCTCTTTTTGTTAGAGTTGAGCCAAACTTGTTCTTCCCCATCCACATTTTCATTGTCTCCAGGCTCTGGGAAGAACTTTGGTGACATAACTTGGACAGTCTGGGCAGAGATGTACAGTATCATTGAGTATCATCAACTTACTGATGAACTGGCGGCGGGGGGGGGGTCCCAGTGGTTTTAGAGCAAAGCAGCTCTCTCAACTGCAGGAAGTCTTGCTGATTCACTTCAATACCTGGTTTTGCATTTTCTGTTCCAGGCTGAGGCTTGAAACTGAAAGCTACAACGGTCTGTTACTGTACGTAGATGCAGCAGCAGAAATTAAAGCTGAGACATAAAGGATACATAGAGATATGAAATAAATACATCTGTTGGATGTAGAGGTGGTTTGTGTCATTTAGTTCTGTATTTATTCCAACTTACGGAGGAGGAATTGTATGTCATTCAGAATTTGTTCTGACTGGAGTGACCTATGCAGTAAGTCCTGGAAATAAATAAATTTGTCTCAAAAAAAGTACCTTGCCTGACCACAACGAATACACCACTCTTCTCCCTCGAACTGAAACCATATAGCTACTTTGATTATATTATATTTAATATATTTAATTATATTTAATATAATATAATCAAAGTAGCTATATGTTAAACTAATTATATGTAGCATTAGTAACATACCATCCTGAAAGCATATTAAAGCCATTAACTCCCTATCTCGCCACAATGTATGGTGCTGTAATTTCCTCCCTAAATTAAATATAGAAAGAGAATAAGTGTAATCCTTAAGGATGTGTGGATCAAGAAACCAAATGTGTGTATTCTTATATTTTTATCTTGGAATATTGTTGCCCCAGGCAATACCCATCTCGCCCTGGGGAAAATTCTTAAGAGACAGAAGCCAGGTGAAAGTCATTGAGTAACAAGGGTGAAATAGTCGTTATTTTGGCAACATTTTAGAATGTGAAAAATCACTTTGGGACCAGAGAAGTTGAATGTGGAATTGAAGACACAATCTGTTCATTCAGGAAAAGGAGAACCAATGTCTGGACTGCTTTAGCCTTTGTAGATGCAAATCAAATTTATGTATCCAGTAAATACATGAAAAGATGATAGTGGATAAAATGAATCATTAACTTTTTTCTCTGTTTTTAATAAATATACAAGCAGATACAGGCTGCAGCAATGTTACCTTCCTGTCATCACTATTGGCATTGCTATTTTTGGTCTACTTCTTTCAATCCCACAGAAAGCCATCTGTCTTTTCCCTCAAACGGAAAGCATATAGCTACTTTGATTATATTATACTTGATACATTTAATTATATTATATTTAATATAATACAGTCAAAGTAGCTATATGCTTTCACTTGGAAGGAGGGGAAAGATGCCTTCTGTGGGATTGAAAGAAGTAAACTAAAAATAACAATGCCAATAGCGATGGCAGGAAGGTAACACTGCAGCAGTCTATTGTTTTCTCAAGCATTCCAGATAGACATACAGTAAACATTGCTACAGCAGGGGAATGTAATGAGCCTTTTAAAAACTATGTAACTTTCTAAAAACCGCATGTGTGAGTATGAATATGTGTGTGTGTGTATATGTAAACTTTACATCCTAGCCAAGCTAGTTCCAAGTGTTCTGAGCCTGGCAATAGGTTTCATTGCAAAGTGGATTATTATTCCTTGCTGTTTGTCTTCTTTTTGAAAGGCCTGAGAGATTTTTAAAAAAACTGACTTTAATAATGAGATTATGCAATTATTAACACTAATATAAATAGAAAGCTGCTTCCACTGGATGGGCGGCTGCATTCTTCAGACCCCAGCTTCTGCTCTGAGGTATGGTTTACCTGTGGCACTCACAGGTTATTCCCACTCACTGACAGGTTCTGTTCTTCTCTGTGAGGAAAGTACTACAGCAGTGTTTCCCAAACTTGACAATTTTAAGGTATGAGGACTTCAACTCCCAGAATTCCACAGCCAGCAACGCTGGCTGTGGAATTCTGGGAGTTGAAGTCCATATGCCTTAAAATTGTCAAGTTTGGGAAACACTGTACTACAGGAAAGCAGGACCAAGTGTTTCACAGCAATCACAAACTTTATTCCCAAAGGAATCTGTTTACCAGAAGCCACTATTTTTGTCTCAACAATTAACAGCCAGTGTATATTGTGGATTTAGAGGCTTGTGTGGACTGTTTGGTAACTATATATTTTTATGTAAAATGTGTAAAAGCCTATATTGCTCCAAGGCTAAGCTAACAGCAATATTCTTTGGGAAATTTCTCTTACCAAAAGGGCTCTAATTTTCCAAGATGGAGGCATTTTAAAATCACTGCTACTTGGGACATTCTCCTCTCTTTTTCTGATTTTCATGTCTGTTCTTCTTTTCTTTCAGTTAGTTTCAACATCATCATTTCAACATTACTTTCATCATCATCATCATCATCATCATCATCATCATCATCATCATTCCTACAGTTTGTGTATTGTACCTGGAGACAGGTGAGGCCCCTGCATTTCAGCAAGAGATATGGATACATTTTTTTAAAACTAAAAATGTGGATTTTGAATTTAGGTGTTACAGAGTTGCTGTTGTTAGCTGCCCAGTTTTACATTATGCAAGAGGGGCACCCATATAAATATTTAAAATAAATGTAAATGAATAAATGCTATTATCCCAATAGCTGATCTATTAGCCTGATGGTTTTGAAGAAATAAAGAAAATTGCCCAATAGCTTTTTGTAATAAAACCTACTGTTGGTTTCTTCTCTTTATTCATTAAACTTTAGATGGATGCAACATAAGCAATTGATTTTATTTTTGTTACTGGTTGACAAGATTTGTTATCAGAAGTCTAAAACCATATTTCTTTAGATCAGTGTTAAAGTTTGGGGAATTTTCCTGGTTGAAAAATTAATACAATAACAAGCTTCGAAAAGACTTCCATGCAGTGGAAGTCTCATGTTATACATTTGTCCCTCCTGCTCAGAGAATGCAAATAAATGATCTTCCAGTCTTTTTTTTTTTTTTTTTTGTTCAATGGCAGGAATAAGAGGAGAGCAAGGGCATGCTAATGACCCAGACCTATTTTCTACCCAGTTTCAAATTTTCCATGTTCAAGCAGGAAAAAGGCTGTCCTATTGGCTGCGGACAGAATGTTTTTCAGCAGCTGCTTATTAAGCAAGTCAGTTTATGAAGGAATTACAGCATTCAGGGTTCTAGCTGACTGATACATCCCTTCTCCACAACCTTTGCAAACAAACATCCTCAATTCCACAGATTACTTAAAAATATGTACTTTGAGGAGCTGAGCTGAAAGAAATATGCCCTGAATATGATTAATGAATGACTAGGGCCAGATTTTGGTAAGCCTGACAAAGCACTTGTGTCTTGAGCCGTATAGAGCTTCTATTCCAAGAATCAGTCTCCTTTCTCTGAAGGAGGAGTATTAATTTTAGGATTACAACATAGGAAAACTCATATGAAGAGAGGCAGGTATAAGGTGTCAAAAATGGGCATATGAACAGAATTATTCTCATGCAATCTGATTCTCCTGCTGCAGAAAAATAAAAACAAATAGATGGAAAATTTATCATTCTTGAAATGGAAAATTTTCTTTAAGGAAAAGCGACGTTTACAAGAAAATGAGTTACTGAATACTTAACCTTATTCAAATATAACTGGAAGGGTTGTTAGGGCCAGCAGGAAAAACCAGAAAATTCTGACTTAACTAATTGTTATAAAAGAAGGTGATTTTATAGATGGAGTAAAAAGAGAGTCTCTTTAAGTTATTAATAATGATGATAAAAATATTCTACATATTCTTAAGCCACTCACCACACAATATTTTGTCCAATAGGGATAGTTTTGTCTTAGAATACAAACTATTGCTATAAAGAGAAATTATAAATATATTACTTTGAGTTTCATTCATTTTTACCCCTGCATGTTCAAATCACTGCAGGTTTGGTTGCTGAAAATAGCACTCAATTTTTTCACCCTGCAGAAAGGAGTGGTGAAAAAAAGAGGGACAATTCAGTTTATGTTTGTAATCAAGCTTGTATTTCTTTACTTCTTTTCATCCTGTACGTTTAACAATTATTGTCTCCAAAAGTGGCTTATATCTGGAGAAAGACATAATTGGGTTTATGTTTGAAATGACAAGACATGAGTGGTGAGAAAAGGGAAATTGCCATTTTACAGTTCCATAGATTCACTTCGCTTTTTTTAACCTATTGAATTGCAAAGAAGAAAAGCCACATAGAACAGAGCAAAACCTATGCTTGGTATCAGAAGCGATTAGAAACCAGTTTTATCAAATCACCTTCATAGTTAACAGAGAAACATTTATTTACTCTAGATTTATGTACCACACCAATTAATATAAATTCTGGTGAGTTTACAAAAAGAAGACTCAACCTTCCAGTAAACTACAACTTTAGCGTTAATAATAGTAGCAACAACTGTCAGTGTTATCCATAGCTTTTTGTTAAAGACCAAAGATTCACTGAAACACAATCGTCTTCCATTAGGGTGCAGATAATAACTCTGGCCAGCTTGTTCCAGAGAACTGAGGTTAATACAGAGGAAGCCCACTATCCCAACTAGCCCCAAGTTCTGGTGGATTGAAAATTCTTGGCAGACACTGTTTAGGTAGGAAGAATAGTACTAGTATAGATGATACCCCATATAGCCTGATGCAGTGTGGTCTTGGATGGGACAGGCCTAGTATGTAATTTGGGTTTTTTCCTGGACTCACAACTCTTGCTTGAGGAGCAAGTGGCAGTTGTGTCCAGGAGGACCTTTGCACAATGTGGATGGTATATCAGTCACACCCATTCTTGGATCAACAATCCTTGCTCACAGTTACCCATGCCCTAATTACCTCCCATCTTGACTATTGCAAAACTTTCTACATGGTCTGTTCTTGAAAAGTATTCAGAAGCTTCAGTTGGTTCAAAATGTGACAGCCTGCATGGTTTTGTGGAAGTCTAGATTTGCACGTGTCACCTTCCTTGTGGGAGCTGCATTGGCTGCTGATTTGCTTCCAGGTCCAATTCAAGGTCCTGGTTCTCACCTTCAAAGCCCTAAATGACTTGGGACCAGATTATTTGAAGGACTGTCTTCTCCCAATCATATTTACCTGACCCACCAGAGCAGGGAGACAGGGAATGCTCCTAAGAAGATCCATCTGGAGAAAGGCCTTCTTCATAGTGTCTCCCTTTCTGTGTAACATCATCCCTGCAAAGATAAGATTAGCTCCTATTTTGACACTTTCGCAAGGCCCTGAAAACATGGTTCTGCAATGAGCTGAGAATGATATGGAACCCATCAAGTGGCTTGTTTGATTGTTGTCGCCAAGGGGGTGGGGATGGGGTTTTGCTTTTTTTGTATAGTTTTTGTATTGGGATTTTATTCTTGTAAACCATCTGGAGTCACTGGAAGTGAGTTGGGCGATCATGTAAATTTTCCTATATAAAATACATACATACAATACATACATAGCTTTACAAGTTACAACCAGCACTTTGAATTGAATGAAGAAGCCTACTGAACGGTAATGCAGTAACCTCAAGATGGCTGTATCTCTGCTATAGATTTCCTCAGCTAACTAGGCTGCCACATTTTGCATCAGTTGTAGCTTTTAAATTTTCTTCTAACACAGTCCCACACAGAGTGATTGCAGTAATCAGGGTATAAACAATCCAGGGCTTGCAGGCATTGATAAGGTTAGAGTTGGCATACCAGCCAAAATTGATCATAGCTTCCACCTGCTGCTCAAGTAGAAACTATGAGCAATGAGGATCACCAAGTCATGGGCCACCAAGAACCACATAGGGGACAAAGTTGTTGAAATAGTCTTTTCAGTCATTGAATCTCTCACAAATCATCCAAGGACCAGATGGCTTCACAGGATCAGCAAATAAGAAAAACCTTGTAGGGGCAATTTCATCCAATGTATTAATCATCCTGGTATTCCAGACATCAACCAGGCACAGACCTGTCTGCCAAATTATCAGGAGAATCTCAAGAACCCTGTGGAAATGTAAGGATTCAATTATGGGGGGACTGTTTAATGGATTGACTGCCTTTATAGAGGTCCATCGTGGTTGCAGTCTACAGTTTAATCAGAAAGTGACTTCATTACTTCTAACTTAGTTATCTGAAGAACTGTCTCACCTCAATGGGACTTGTTCACCTCACCTGTGTTGGCAGAGGGGACTTGCTGCGGAACTTGTCAGTCAAAACTTTTTGATTTTTGGCTGAAAAGCCTTTACTGGTATGGCTCATGCCCTTTGGATCATTGTACACCCCCCCCCCCAAAGTTATATCTGTACCCACCCTTCTGATCTTTCATAAGGGCCAGAAGACCTCTACCAGTTGACCTGGGACCCCAAATGGACTGCACCATTGTGGAGGTGGCTATTGGATTAGGAAAGATCTTACATTTCTCTCTGTGCTTTGTGTTGCCCTCATCCCCATGTTTAATGATATTTATTATTGTTATTTATTTTTATTACCTTAATGTGTGCTGGTTTTAATGTTTGTAAGCCACTCAGAGTCGTAAATAAATATGACAAGAAAGATGTCAATGTCTTCCATATTCAAAGAATATCTCATCCACTCTGAAATAAAAACAAGATCCAGTATCCTTCCAGCTACGTGTATGTTAATATGTAACTGTTAATACTTGAAACAAGACCATTATGGAAACCATAAAATTCCAGTACAGGAATTCCAGTACCAGTCCCAAGATAAATTTATTACACTAATAACTAAGAGGAATAAAATAATTATTGTATTTTTGAATATGTTGATTGCAGTGAAAATATATTATATGCACAAAGAAGAAAAGATTCGGCAGTATCCACAATGGAGGAATATGTGGTGAAAATGATGGAACTTGATGGAAAATTCACTTAGAAGATTCCAAATTGAGGCATATGTTGTTGCTAACATTTCCTCTTATTGTCAGGGCCCACTTCAAAACCTTATGCTAAGAAAGCAGAACTCGTGGAAGCAGTTTCTTCCAAAAGGAACTTTTATTAGAAGCTGATAGCAGGCATAATAGACAGGATCTGAGGGTTTCCTGCTCAGATCAATAGGTTAAAGGAGTCCCAAGCAAACCCCACCCCAATAGTTCATCCGGTCAGTTTGAATGGGCCAATCCCCAGGTGCTAAGTCCTTTGTGGGAAAATGCTGATAACGCTAGTCCAACTCAGGGTTAAAGTGGTGTTTGTTGGGTCTTCGCACTTTCCCTTCCAAGCAGGAGATAAGCCAGATGCCCGGAGGTACTTCCCCCCACTTTCTAGTTGACATCAAGGAGGACAGTTCAAAGAGTGTGTATGCAGAGAAAGTGAAAGAGTTACATTGTAGCAATAGAGAAAGAACAAAGAGGCAGCCCACAGCATCTTTTCCCCTCCCTTCCAGGAGTATGGCAGAACCCAAAAGAATAGAAAGAATAGAGTTAGAATGAGAATTAGAAAGAACCCCTTTGAAATATGGGTTCTGACACTTATTTTCATGAACATTTCAAAGAAAGATATTAAACTGAAACATGGATTAATGATTAAATTGCATGTCACTTATTGGAGCATAGGCTGGAAAAAATACTTTCCATTTTTAACATGGATAATCATCAGATTATGCAGGGATAATATAAAAATGTGGGTTATTTTAACTGTGAGCAACTAGAAATCTCCCTGATTTCCCTATCTGGTTTGCCAGTCTGTATCCAGATACCACTCCCTATTCCATCACAGCCAGCTGACCTTCAGTGCATACATATCAAGGGGATGCATTCTGCAACAATGTCACACAGTCAAACATTTTGCCTAAAATGTGTATCTCTCATCTTCCTTCATCTTACATATTTACATCTTCTAGTAACGTTTTAACTAAGCGTCTTCCACAAGATTTCCCCACTTCTCATGGAAAAAGAGACAAATACTAAATTGGCAGTATTGATGAAAAGGAAATATGTTATCTCCTACCATTAGAAGATCTTAACCAATGGAAAGTCAGAAAGCATTTTTTTCAAGTGAAAGTATCAAATGCAATTTAAAAATTAGCTTAAAATCCAAACAAAACCCAAACAAGACAAAGCAAAGCAAAATGTATTGTGCTATTTCAGCACTTTTTAATCTGATGCAGTTTAGGGCTGATACAGTTGACAGCCAACACTTTTCAAGCCAATTGTAGCTCCTTTCAAAACTCAGTAGAAATCCTATAATACTTGTTGGATTGAAAACTGGGTCAAAAGGAGCTTCACTACCCATCTGGGCCACTTTATTCTCTTAAGTCTGCCCCTGCAGTCCTTTCTTTCTATTCCCTATGTCTGTTCTTGCTCTTTGTTATCTTTATTACTTAATCACAGCATGTTATCATTCCCTAAAAAAAAAAAATGTTTTTAAACCCTATGACTTTTGCTCATATGACATCTATTCCTCTTTTTCTTCTTTTCTTTTGCATCTGAATCTCTTACCAATTGCTGGAAGCAATTAAATTGTAAAGGGAATCTTATTGCATTGCATGTTATTTTAATTTCCAAGGATAAATATTTGATGTATCCTTTGCTGTATTTTTGCTTGAATATGAATATAGAGTATACCAGAAGGACCTATACCATTTATTTTATTTGTATTTTTTTAATCTAAAAAGCTTCAGATGCTGTGAATTTGAGATTCTTGAGGGTTTATTTGGGAAATGAAGCCAAAAACAGACAAAAGGTTGAATAAGTACATCCAAAAAGGATATTATAAAAATATACTTCAGAATAAGAGCTATGTGAAAAGCTAATTGCAACATGCAGATCAGCCCACATTTCTTCTGAGACAAATTCTCCCCTTGATTCAGTGTTATACTGGCCTTCTATTTTTAGTCAATTTCCAAAGGGTGGAGCAATGAAAGTATCCTTTGAAAGGTGAGAAACAAAGGTGCTGGGATAAATTTCTGTGGAGCCATAGCTGTAGCACAGCCTCTATCCACACTCCTGTTGGCAAGGCAAGTCTTGGCAATAGTTAAGGATCTATTCATTTGCCTGTTCGTGGATATGGACTTCTGGAGGCCTCCTCCCCAAATTATTTACAGAGCTCTTTTCAGCCACTCTCTGGGGACAATGGAGATTTGGACTTGCCAAAGCCAAAGAATTGAGACTAGTACACTTAGCCCACCTATACCTGCAGAAAGGCTCTTCCTTCAGTCTGTTCCAGGATTCTCTCTGCACCTGGATAGGCAGCCCATAAAAGCTGAGTAGGATGTAAGATGGGTGTAGGAGATGGAAACTGATACTTGAAGGATGCATGTGGAGAGCATCCGCAATTGCAAGAGAAACTTGGGATAGCTGGAGCAGCTTAACAGCCTTGCCAGAAGAGAGCTAAGCAGCAGATGCCTAACAGTTTGCCAAGGTCCACAACAATGCCTGCAATAAAGGGGAGCAGTTCATGTCCATTGGCAGAAGCCAGCCCTAGTTCCTAACTCATCTGATGGTGATGATCATTCTAGATCCACAAAAAGCTTGAGCAGGAGCTGTACCCTGGCAAATGTACATACTGTATTCCTAGAGCATTGGGAAGAACCTGAAGAAAGACTGGGAGTAATAGCCAAGTGGCATCACCAATTTCCAAAAACCAGGATCTAATTCTTCTTTTAAAAGACTAGACTGCATGAAATTCAAGGAGGGATGGGGAAGAGATATCATCCAAACTCAGTATAGGAAGAAATAATTGTGGCATACCAATGAAGTTCTCACATCATGGGATTAGACCCACATTTTTTTGTGTTTATATGTGTGTTTTCAGCCCTTTAGTCAAGAATCTACAACATATCCAAAGCTTCCTCAATCAGCACTGGAAAATATATTTGCTTTCTTGGAAGTAGATCTGCAGAAATTCAGAAGCTGGAATGGCTATTACTATAGGAATTTATATGAAGCAAACAGAATGATTGAGATGTAGCTCAATTTCTTTCAATAGCATCCAGAAACTTTAAATAGGGATCACTGCACATGGCATGCCCAATTAAATTATAGTGAGGTATTCCCTTTAAGCAAATACTATATTTAAAATGTTAGCCAGGTGCATCTAGAAGTTCACAAGTACCAGTATAGCATAGAGCTGAAATGTAGTTCCTAATTAGTCTCTGTAGAGGCTGTCTGTCTATATCTATACCATGCTCTCTATTTATATCTTCTGCCTGTATTTATTTTCATAGTCTCTTCCACCCATCTAATCCAAAATGTGTTTTTTTTTTCAAAATTAGAAACATTCCCATTACTTTTCCTCATTATAATCTGATGGAGGAAATGCACTTCCAGATTGGCTGCTGGAAAAGGACACTGGCCTACCCAAAATCTGCTATTGCCATATTAACTTATTTCCTTAAAAGGCTTTATACGTGAATAACCATAACTGTCCTCGGCTAACCTAAGCTATTCTTTCTAAATATTTAGAATACACACCCATATAAAATTCCAGGAAGCAGAGGAAAAAGCAAGTGAAGGTTCAGGAAAAATACAAGTGTGAACTTCAGGAACTGTATCATAACAAAAATATTTTTTTTAAATGTAGAAGACTGATAAATATGTTTTGAAGCTTTAAAATATATTATTTGTATGATTACACAAAACATGATAGACATGATTCTGCCATTAGAAGTAGAGAAAACAAGGACATTGTACTTCATAGAATAATAAATAAACAAACAAAAAACAAATACACCAAAAATTTTCCTGCAGATAGGATTTCAAAAATAACTAGTATTTCAATACATAATAATGAGGACTATTATTATAAGTTAAGAACTGAAGTCTTGGTTGGATAATTCCTTCCTTCCTTCCTTCCCTCCCTCCCTTCCTCCCTCCTTGCTTTTGTCTGAAAATATTCAGAAAACTAAAACAAACAGCTACAGAATAGTTCAAGATAAAGTTTTTTTTTATAGGACAAGGACACTAAGGTGGCAATGAACTGTAAGTAATGTAGGAAAACAAGGTTTAGTGACTGGATGAATAAACCACAGTGATGTCAGTAATGGAAAAGACAACATATTTAAAAAATGAAGAAGAATGCAATGAGGTTTTAATTCCAAAATTCAGATAAACAAAAAAACCCTAATATCTTACCTTACAAATAATATAGAGAAAACTTCCATTTTATATCCATGTTCACCAGCAACCACACGAAGCAGAAGTAAATCATCTTAATTAATACATATATGAAACTAAATGAAAATAACATCTATGTAAATCATGTAACTGTATTTTGAACAGAGGCTAAATACTATGCTTTAAAAGAACTTTCTCTAACCACATGCCCTTGGGAAATTTGGGGGTTGTAATTTATAACTGGTTGGAAATTCTGAGGCTTGTAATCTGAAGGTCTTCAGAGGACATCAAGCTGAAGAAGGGCAGTTTAAAGTGCAGAGTTATTTTATGTTTGGACTTCTACAAATAGTCAATAAGCCATTAATGTAATGAGAAAATCATACATATGTGTATGGTAAATACATGCAATACATGGTTCTTTAAGAACTGTATTTCTTTAATGTTAATTGTAACATTAGTGAGCTTGGTTACAGTGTTTATAGGATTTGAGAACAAAAAAGACAGTAATAGATAAACTACTGCAAATTAGCTGAGTTTGATAGACATTTGCTATATTTTTGTACCCCTCTAGTTACTGATTTTCTAAAAAGAGCTATTGCAGCTTTTATTCAGATATACACAAAGATAACTGAGAAGCTCATTTGAGAAGGCTTTAGTTTATAGTGCATAATTAATATCAGGGCAGATACTATGGCATGAAATCACCACATAGGAATATGACTGCTTGTTATAAAAGGAGATGCTCTATATTGTACAGATAGTTTGGTAGACAAGACATGAAAAAACCCTCAATAGCTGTATCGTCAAGTGGAAAGCAAGTGTTCTGGAAGAAACTTTTCAAGGCTAGTTTCTAAGGCAACATTTAAAAATATGATCTGTTGTACAGAGGGCCAAGTTGAGTAGCAGAAGGAAACTGAATGGAAGAGGAGATAGTTTGGCATTAAAAAAAATTTAGATTGTAAACACCAAAACATTCTAGAGTTGATATCCCCTTCTCTTTAAAGTTTGGTCAATATATTCTACATTTTCAGTAACTTCTATAGTACTCAATACCACACTGTTGAGATAATGAAACAGTTAATGCTGAAAACTCTTTGTGAAAACATACAGTATTTACTCTCTATTGCTAATGAATGCTATACAGCTTTTTTAAAATGACCACCTTTTTGTTATAATGCTTATGGCTAGTTTTGTGCCACAGAAGTGGAAGATCTGTCATACCCTAGTGGGTCAATTAATAACTAAATAATTATTTCTAGAATGGGAATCTGCTTTTCCTACAATGTTCCAGAAAGGGAAGATGAAACTAAAATACACTACTTTTAATGTTTTCCTCAAGTAACAACCCTTTTTGAACTGGTGAAAACATGAAGAGAAATAAAGAAACAAAAGAATATTTCTTATGGAATTCCCTCTCCTGGATCTACAGATGTTCAGCAGCTACTGCTACAAATTGCTTTTCAGTGGCTGGATGAATAAACCACATAGTGACGTCAGTAATGGAAAAGGTACCGTATTTTCCGGTGTATTAGACGACTTGGCGTATAAGACGACCCCCGACTTCGGAGCCGATTTGCATGCCTAGAAAGTCATCTTATATGCCGGAAACTACCGTAATTTCTGGCGTATAAGATGACTCGACGTATAAGATGACCCCCGACTTCGGAGCCTATTTGCATGCTTTAGAAAGTCGTCTTATACGCCGGAAAATACGGTAAATATATTTGCTCTTTTATTGTACAAATTCTACATTTTTCTGGAGGAGCATTTTATTTCAGTGAATCTAGCTATGTTCTTTTGCTTTAAGGTATACATCAGTTTGAATGCCTCAGTTACCTCCCCGCCTCCCCCTTTGATCTCATATTTATGTATAAGTTTTCAAACACTGCTGCTAGAACAGCATGATGTCCAGGATAATCTACACATATAATTAAGGTCAACCTTAGTATTACTCAAACATTGTTTTAAGTGAAAAATCAGGATGATTTTTGGGTCAGAGAAATAATGCTGTCTTCAATCTTTGAAAGTTTCTTCAACATTTTGTTCAATTCAGTCTCATCAAATTCCATGGTCAAAAGTTCAGATTCCTACAATAAAAAGGAAGAAAGAGAATTGGTTTACATTTTAACATGAAAATACACTCAGCACTCTATTCAAAAAGGTGGAATTAATTATCTTCTTCCCTGTTTATTTTGCATGCTTTTATTTTATTTTATTATTAAATTTGTTTGGTATCCATCTCACTTTTATGGAGTTATTACAGGAACACATACACACACACAACACACACACAATTACATTCTTATAGACTTCCTCAATTTACAGCACCTGGTTTCTCAACTAAGTGATACACTTGTTGCATCACATGCTCTGCCAGGAAGCATCTTAAGGTATCTTGCAATCTGAGAAGAGAATATCCTCATTTTAATACTTTCCACATTCAGGAATGCTTCTCACAAGAATTTATCTACTGATAAAAATGCTTGCATATTTGCTATAAACTCCTTGTATGTTGCCAACCATACTTGACCAGGCCTCCTACACATCATCTTTGTTTTTGAAACTATTATTAAAGTTCAATAAACAACATGCTCCTCTTTTTTGAAAATACCAACAAACTGGGGAGATGGTTAGCACATTGTGTTTCAAAATGACACAATTAAAAGAAATATTATATTACGAGATACTTTACAATGCAGAGGAAATCTCAACAGAAAAAATACAGCAGTATTTAAAAAAAGCAGACTTACCAAAAATCTCAGAGAATATTCAGAACATATTAAATGGAAAAATATCAATGATGGAGATTACAGAGACTATAAAAAGGCAAAAAATATGATAAAACTCCAGGTCCAGATGGATTACCTGCAGAGCTTTATAAATCATTACAAGATATACTAAGCCCAATATTGAAAGATCTGTGCAATGAAATACTTTTAGAGGCTAAAATACCAAATACATGCACTGAAGCCAATATTACCTAAATACCCAAAGAAGACTCTGATCTAATGCAAATAAAAAACTATAGACCAGTGGTAGCGAACCTATGGCATGCATAACAGAAGCAGCACTAAGAGCCCTCTCTGTCGACATGTGTGCCATGCCCCGGAGATGGCAACCATCCCTCTTCAACCAGCTGCCCGCTAACTCGCTGTGATCCCACATGGCCGGATGCATCCCAGCACCCATGCGCATGCTGGCCTCTGTGCAGGGCCCGATGGTGTCAGGCAGCAGCCGCCCCGGCCCCTGCCTCACCTTGCCCTGTGACAATGGCACCCTTGCCCTGCCCTGCCTCGCCTTGCCTTGCCTCACCCCGCAAGATGAACCTCCTGCCCATCGCCCCACCTGCCAGAGACTCCCTGGATCTCCCCCAATCCTGCCTGGCCCCCACAGGTGTCCCTCCCCATGAGCAATATTGAGGTGATCACACCCACCTTGGCCACACCCACCCAATCTGCCATGACCACCACAGCCATGCCCATCCAGTGGGCCACACCCACCTGACACCCGGCGATAAATAAGTGGGTTTTAGGTTGCAGTTTGGGCACTCGGTCTCTAAAAGGTTTCCCCTCACTCCTATAGACCAATATTGTTATTAAATGTAGATTATAAAATTTTCGCCTCAGCAATAGCAGAAAGACTAAAGAAATTTCTGACCGAATTTATACATATAGACCAAAATGGCTTTCTATCTAAAAAACAGATTAAAAATAATTTAAGAATGATTCTAGTTGTGTTAGAGTACTATGAAATTCATCCAGGGAAACAGATGGTTTTAATATTTCTTGAAACACAGAAAGTGTTCGACAACGTAAACTGGCAATTTATGTTTCAGCAACTAGAGGAAAAGGACTTTGGAGAAAACTTTATAAATGTAATTAAAACAATTTATTATAAACAAACAAATAATTGTAAATGGAGATTTTACAGAAAACTTTGACATTAAAAAAGGCAGAAGACAGGGATGTCCACTATCTCCATTATTATTTATACTAACACTGGAAGTATTTAATAGAAACATCCAGCAAGATACAGAAATTAAAGGCCTGGAGATAAAAGATGAAAAATATAAACTATAAGCATTTGCAGATGACGGTTTTTATATTGGAAGAACCACTTGAAACAAGCATTAAACCTAAGGAGAAAATAGAAAAATTTGGAGAAGTGGCAGGGTTGAAAATAAACAGAGGAAAGACTAAAGTGCTAACAAAAAATCTAAAGAAAAAAAAAACCAACTAGCAAAAAAACCCCAAAACAAATCTTCAAATAGTTAAAAAAGTTAAATATTTGGGAATTTATTTAACAGCAAGATGTGCAAGAATAAAAGAAGATAATTATGTAAGATTGATAAAACAAAATAAAATTGGACTTGGAAAAATGGAAAAACTTACAACTTTTAACGTTGGGGAGAATAGCAACAGTGAAAATTAATATCTTACCGAAAATACTCTTTCTATTCCAAACGATACCTGTAAGACTGGGAAAAGCCTTTTTTGATGAACTAAATACAATAATACTGAAATTTATCTGGCAAGGAAAAAAAGCTAGAATCAGACTGAAAATGCTACAAGAAGCGAAAGGAAGTGGAGGATTTGGACTGCTGGGCTGGATGTTATACTACCAAGCAACTATATTAACATGGCTTAAAGAATGGATAATGCTTAGAGATAAAAGACTATTATACCTAGAGGAGCATGACCTACAATATTGGGTGGCATGCCTTTCTGTGGTATGGGAAGAATAAAATTCATAGAAACTTTCAAAACCACTTCTTTTAGAATGGGAAAAAATAAAAGTGAAAATTTATATCAAGATACCTGGATGGCTTTCAACAATGGAAGCACTTGCTTACCCAAATTTAATTAATTATGACAAAATTGTGACCTATAAAGATATTTTGGACAATGAAGGGATATTGAAAGACAGACAAGACTTACAAGAACAAGGTATTGATCTATCATGGTAGCCATACTTTTAAATCTAAACGAGATATGAAAAAGATGTTAAAACAATGGGATTTCATAAGGAACAGACAGAATGCAACCAGATACTGTCAAAAACAGACGAAAAACTGATTAAGAAACTCTATAAATATCTGTTAAGCTTAAAGATGGAGGAAGAACAAGTAAAAGAAACAATGATAACATGGGCAAATAACTTTGGACATAATATAGAATTAGAAAACTGGCAAAAGTTATGGGAAAGAAATGCTAAATTAACAAAAGTAGTGGCATATAAAGAAAACTTATATAAAATGTTTTACAGATGGCATTTAACACTAGTGAGATTAGCAAAAATGTTTAAAAATACTTCAAACAAGTGTTGGAAATGCAAACAAAGACCAGGTACTTATTACCATATCTGGTGGACATGCCCGAAACCAGGGATAGGCAACCCAAACACTCAAAGAGCCACTTGGACCCGTTTCCCATTGAAAACAAAACACTGGGAGTTGCAAAACCCTTTTGATATCTAAAATGAAGATAAAACTGCATATATCCTTTTTTACCTTTATGAGATATAGGTAAATGTTATCTTCATTTTAGATCAGCGGTTCTCAACCTGTGGGTCGCGACCCCATTTGGGGTTGAACGACCATTTCACGGGGGTCGCCAAACAACGCAATCCGCCATTTTTTCCCCTTTTCCTTAGCTGTGCTACTCCCTCTTATTCTATTGGCTTTTGAAAGCCAATAGTATAGACTCTATTCAAGAGACTCATTCTATTGGCATTCGAAAGCCAATATAAACTAAGAAAGTTTCGGTTTCAGAGCACGTGGCAGAAAGCGAGAGAGAGAACAAGCGGCAGAAAGCGAGAGAGAACAAGCAGCAGAAAACAAGAGAGAGAACAAGCAAAAGCAGTAAGTTTCGTCTCTGGTCTGCCGCTGAGCTTCCTCTGCTTGGCCAGCAGACAACCCCAGTGGCCCCAGAACACCCTGCCCGCATTTCCTGCAATTTCGCAGCTGGCCCAGAGGCTAAAAAACACCCCGCGGCCGCTGGCATTTCTCGTAATTTTGCAGCCGGCCTCCCCTCGTGCAGCCCGCCCCGCGCCCTCCCCACCTGCCACTGATCTCAGCAGACAAGCCGGGGGCCACCAGGGAAGGCCGAGGCCAAAGAGCCCGGCCCAGCGACTAGAAAATACCCCGCGGCCACTGGCGTTTCCCATAAATTTGCAGCCGGCTTCCCCTCGTGCAGCCCGCCCCGCGCCCTCTCTGCCTGCCTAATACTGGCCCAAAGCTTCAGAGATCGCTCTCAAACCATCCTGACCTGCCAAAAATAATACTAGGGGAAGGGAGAGAGCGACCTGACGAGCGGACAAACACGCACACACGTTCCCGGGCCCACGTACTTTCCGCGGCCAAGTTCTTCCATTCCTATCCCTACCAAGGCACAACCTGCTCCAGGCACCTGTCACCCTTAGAGCGCAGGCTCCTCCCCAGCCGACTGGCTCGGCCTCCTTCGGTCCGTCCTTCCTCAACTGTCCGCGGGTCGACCCAGCTGGTGGTTTTGGTGGCGTGGTCTATGTCGTAGTCGCGAGCTTCCTCCCAGCCTTCGGGCAAAGGCAACTCCTGCCAGGGCATTTTTCCCAGCAGCAGGCGCAGCAGCGGAGAGACGGACCGAAGCTGCTCCCGGAACGTAAAAGTAGAGGGCCCAAACGGCGAGAGTGACGCAGCTCTCTGACTCTCTGCTTCAGAGGAAAAATGCAAGGGAAAAAGACTGGGAGAAGTGGTCGTTTTTGGGCACGTACGTTATGAACCGGCTACTTGTCCCAGTCTTTTTCCCCTGCATTTTTCCTCTGAAGCAGAGAGTCAGAGAGCTGCGTCACTCTTGCCGTTTGGGCCCTCTACTTTTGTGCCCCGCCCTGCCTGTGTGCTCTCCTCTGCCTCTGTGCGCACACAGGCAGGGCCGTGATGTGTTGCTGCCTGCCAAAACCAGGCTGGGGTCTGGGCGGCATAGCACAGGACGAAGGAAGGAAAGAAGGGAGGGAGGAAGGGACAATGGGAGCTGCAGCGCTGCAGCCTTCCAGTCCCGCGAGCGTTCTTCGGCTGTGCTCAAGGCCTCGCATTTATCAGCTGTTTGGTGGCCGA